TGTGAGTTCGAGGCCAGCCTGGTCTACATAGTGAGTTCCAGGACAGCTGGGGCTACAGGGAGACCCTGTCTCAAAAAGACAAAAAAATTTTTTTATTTAGTTTTAATTTTATGTGTATGAGTGTTTTGCCTACAGGTGTGTAAGTGCCTCTGTGTCATGCAGTGCCTTGTAGAGGTCAGAAGAGGGCATTGGATCCCCTGGAGCTGAAGTTAGGGATGGTTGTTAGCTACCATCTGGGAACTGCTGGGAACTGAACCCAAGTCCTCTGCAAGAGCAGCCAGTGTTCTAAACCTTGGAGCCATCTCTCCAGTCCTAAAACAAGTATTCTTTTTGTTGTTGTAATTTTGGTTTTTTGTTTTGTTTTAACAGCTTCTCCATTGTCCCAACCTGCCTGAAAGTCACTATGTAGACGAGGCTGGCCTCAGTCTCCCTGAGATCCACCTGTTTCTGCCTCCCGAGGGCTGGGATTAAAGCCATGTGCTACCATGCCCGGCACAAAACTATTATTCTTAAAGCTACATAAAACATCATGAGGGCAAATATCAAGCTGTTTTGTTCATTGCTGTAACAAAGTTTTGAATTGTACCTGATATACAATAGGCCCTCATATGTACTTCCTGACTTGATACCATTTATGTACATAAAGGAACTGAACCTAGAGAACCAAGAAATTTATCCTGTAAGTACTGAAGCTAGGATTTGAACCTAGACTGATTCCAGAAGCACACTTCATTCTTCCCACTGAACAGCTCAGGGGTGTACTCATGTTACATTCAGAGAGGAGTGGATCTATTCCTTCCAACTGCTTGCTCTAAGGCTGTCATAGATGGCTGGTAGCTGGGTCTACTTTTTTTCTTCAGTATTTAGAAGAATAACAGCAAAACAAAACTTTTGAAACAGTGTCAAACTCATAGAAAAGTTAAGTACAGTACAAAGAATTTCTCCAGTCATTTGTGAGTAAATGATAGGATATTTCATCACTCTTTAATACTTTCATACTTCCTTCAAATAAGGCCATTCTTTTATATAACCACAGTCTAACCATCAAAACAGTAAATTAACAATGATATAGTATTATCTAATCCTCAAATTCCATTCAAATTTTGCCACTTGTCCCAACAATATAGTTTATAGCAAAAAAGATCCATGCCAGAATCATGTATTATATTTAGTTATGGTTGTTTTTTTCTTTTTTAGTCTCTTTCAATCTGTATTGGTCCTTCAGTCTTTTCTTGATTTTCATGACCTTGGCATTTGAAGATTATGAGCTATTTTGTTGAATATCCCTGAATAAATGGGTTCATTCTGTCTTCTTAACAGAACTATGTCTGATGTGTCTGTCATGCTTCAGGAATTCACATGCTTTCTAATAGATCTTATACTAACCTGGAGTCAGCCTTCTCCAGGGAACTTTGGTTTCTATCAATGAAAAATGATACACAGAAACTAAGACAGGGCCAGCGAGATGGCTCAGTGGGTAGAAATGCTGCCATGACAACTTGAGTTTGATCTCTGGGATCCACATGGTGGAAGGAGAGAACTGACTCTTATAAGCTGTCCTCTAACAAACACACACACATGCTAAATAAGTAAATAAGTACATGTTTTTTTTTAAACCCTAATATATAGGTACCTTCCCAAGTGTATTCCCTTCTGATCTTGTTTAGGCTTTGGCATTCTGTTTTGACCAGTACTGGCTTCCTTATGTGTCAAAGATCTACCTAATGACTTTTGTACCAAATTATTTGGGAGGGAAAAGAAGAGAAATTGTGGTTGTAGTTTGTTTTAACTTTAGACTTTGCTGGGCATTTCCAAGTCATGGATATAATGCCTTTACTTGCAGTTTTTCCCCGCTATACTATCATGTGCTTAATATTTTTCTTTCAAAATATTTTGTTCATCCTAAGCAACGATATCTGAAATCATCAGCTTGATAGGCTACTTACATTTTTTTAATACTCATTAAAATAACAAAATACTAAAATGAGAGAGTGTAGCCTTCTGCCCCATCACCACCCCAGGTACTGCCAATGGTCCACTTACCACTCTTGAGGAACTCCTCCCACACTTGCAGCCATCTGCACTTTTTGAGTGATACTGACAGAGCTTATCTCTCTCCTCAGGTAGGAGCTATCCTCAAGGACACAATACAGTCTCTCAGCAGGGACTGGTGTGCTCACAATTCCAGCCTAGCTTTTGAAATAGCCTTTCTGGCAGTGTCAGTGAAACTTCTTGAATATGTGGTCCACAAGGCTCCTATTGATAAGGCACGACAGGTGGTTAACCATATGACGGGTATGATCAATGGGAACACAGCCATCCGAGAGTTCATCCAGGGCCAGGGAGGATGGGTAAGTATGTTGCAGCCTTGCTAGGCATTTGTGCTGTTTTGGTTTTAATACCTGAGACTTATGAACCTTTTTGTAAGTTGCCATAGAAAAAGAATAGAAGCTCAGCCTGTTGGATACAAGAGTCATGGTGCTTGAGATGCTGACTACTGATTATGTAAAGCTACATACTCAGCTACACAGTATATTTATGACAGAGATCTACTCTCAGCCTGGCCTTACTCTGCTCCCTAGTAAATTTCTGAGCCTTCATTCTTTAACATCTTTAGTTATATGTTGAGGAAGTTCAGAATAATCATGTGCCTATATCTGTGTATATGTGTGTGTGTGTCTGTGTCTTTGTCTGATGTATATACCTGTGTTCCTGTGTATGAATGCAGGCATGTTCAGTCTACAGCTTGCATGTGGAGGACACTTTGTGTGAAACGGGGTCTTAGTTTTTCTACTGCATATGCCAGGCTCATTGGCTCATGAGTTTCTGGGGAGTCGCTTGTTTCTGCCTCCCATCTCACTATAGGAACACTGGAATTACAGGTGTGTACTACCACACCCAGCTTTACATGAGTTCAAAGATTTGAACTCAGATCCTCATGCTTGTGCTTGCAGCAAGCACTTTACCCATTGAGCCATTTCCCCAACCCTCTAGAATAACCTTAAACTTTACCTAGCAAAAAACAGTTTGTCTCATCTGTTGTAGAGATAACTGTAGGAGGCATTCTAAGCCACTATCTTCATAATCCGTAAAGCTTCTGCTATCCTAGGCGCGTGTCAATTTTCAACAGAAGTCAGAATAAGAGGTATACTTTCTAGAAGGTTATAGATTGTTCCCCAGTTTCTTAGGAAGTTCCTAAAGACTGTCCTTTGATTGAGATTTTCACTGTTCTTCCTAGGAAAATCTGGAGAGCTGAAGAAATGAAGTTATTCCTCAGACTGAACAGCACTTCCTCTTTGACAGATCAAATGACTGATTTCTGGCAATTAAGAAACAAAACCCACTTTCTCATGTGGGTATCAATGAACTTAGCTAGTTGTTATTTTCTACTGATTGGTAAAGTTTGGAATAGCCCCTAGAAGCCTACAGAGATAGTATACTTTCTGTTTTTATGTGAGTTTTAACAAGAATTTGTTGATACAAAGACCTGTCACAAAGTAATGACTTCTGATTAGTGAAATTCTTTGCTGGAGATGCTTTGGAGGAAACAGAGCACAATGGGAACTTTTCCTTCAGGTTTTGCCTTGTCTTTTGTTTTTCGTTTGTTTATTTGTTTGGCTTTTTGAGACAGGGTCTCCCTGTCACCACATGTAGACCAGGCTGGCCTTGATCTCACAGAGATCTGCCTGCCTCTGCCTCCCAAGTGGTGAGATTAAAGGCATGTGTCAGTTTTCATTAAAGAATCTTGTTGCTGAAAGTAATGGATTTTCTTTCAAATTCACATATACGTTTTATGTTACTTTCACCTGAGCAGAATTTATGTCATCCATTTTGGATTTTAAAGCCCAGAGTAACAGATTGTTCATTTTCCCTCCTACTAGAAATGTCAAAGGGAAATAAAACAGCGACTGCATTTTTACTGTCATGGGATATAGGAAGTGCCAGCCCACATGTAGGACAGTTGGGTCACCCCAACTTAGCTGATGCTACTTGCATACTACAGAACTTACCAAAGTGTGACTCATACATTACTTGGGGATCTTACTGATTCGCTGATTGCCAGATCCTGTTGCTATAGGCTGATTTTCTAGGGGTAGCTAAGGCCTAGAAACCTATATTTTCAGCTCAACAGGAAATTCTGATACATACAGTTTGAAAGCCATCACTTTAGAACAAGAATTGACATATGACACACCACAGTCCAAATTGGCTTACTGTCTTGTTTGGTATGTATGCCCCTGTTTATGCAAATGGAGATCAGAAGAGGGCATGGATATCTTCTATCACTGTCTACCTTATTTTTTGACAGGGTCCCACTGAACCTGAAGCAGTTTTGGTTTCAGCTAGGCTGGCCAGTCAGCAAGCTCCCAGGATTCACCTGTCTCTCTCCCCCAGTGCTGGGGTTACAGGCACCCACAGCCATGCCTGGCTTTTAGGTGGGTTCTTGGGATTTGAACTCAGGTCCTCTTGCTTTCATAGCAAACACTTTTACCCACTGAACCATCTCTGCAGCCTCTGCTTTCTGTAAATAAATTATTCCTGGAATCTAGCAATTCTCACTTGCATGTATTTTGTTCGTAGCTCACTTCATTCTGCAGCAGCAGAGTTGAATAGTTAATAGTTACAGTAGACACCTATTATGGGTGTGCAGGTTTCGTGGAACGCCAGCTGCTGGCTGGCGCCTGTCTCCCCCGCGCCGCTGGAGCGGGTCCCGTGTGCCACGTTGCTGGGTAAAGACAGCCATGAGGATGACAGAGAAGGAGGCTCTAGGAGGACATCTGCGGCGTGCAGTCTCCACTAGGTCATGGATCTCTTTCCACATGAGCCGGTGTGGCTTTAGGTGTCGTCTCTGCCTCTTTCTTTTCTTTGTCTCTGACAGGGTCATGCAGGCCATCTTTTTCGTGGGCG